TAAACTCCTTAAAGGAGGATTATATAGGGGATTATCTAAGGTTTAGGGTTTAGGGTATAGGATTCAGGATTTAGAGTTCAGGGTCTAAACTCCTTAAAGGGGGGGGCTATATGGGATTCTATGGGGGGACTACTAGAGGGGCTTATTCAGGGGCATACCAGGGGTATAGACTATAGGTTAAGTCACAGAATGCCGGGCAAATTGGGGACAGGGACAGGACAAGCTGGAAAGGGCGCACCAGTAACTTTCCCTTCTCTTCTTTCAGTCCACTTTCAGACTGTCATGATGCTTCTGGATGTGATGGCAGTAGTAGGAGAAAAGGAAGACATAACAGTACAAGAACAAGTAGCCGTAGCTGTAGCTATTGTTCTTGTCGTATAGTACAAGGTAGCAGCAGCAGAAGAGGAGGATGACGAGGAGGAGCAGTAGTAGTAGCATTAGCATTCTAAAGAGAGATTTGAAGTGCCCTATACCAAACCTATACATGGAATCTAGGACCATAATATTGGTAGCTATTCAGGCCCATACAGTACATAAACCCTAAACTGCCTAAACTCTAAACCCTAAACCCTAAAACCTAAACTCTAAACCCTAAACCCTAAACCCTATAGGCCTGGGCTCCATACATTGAAGCCCGACAGCTTCAACGCCCTACTCAACTCCGTGACCGAGATGTCGCCCGTCCTGGGAAGCAGAAAGGGGGTTGGGGTAGGTTTTGGGCTTTTACGAGTTTGGGGTTGAGGCTTTCAGGTTTGAGGCTGAAGACTCATGAGTTTAGAGTTTAGTTTAGGGTTTAGACGTTCAGGGTCTGGGTTTAGGTGGCTTAAGGGCTTGCTTTTTTCAACTACAAGTAGATGCGGCCCAGAGTTGTATAAGAAGCCTGCAGACTTGTGGAAATACATGTGACCCTTTGCACAACAGGCTTTCTGAGTCCGCCCGGTAGCAGTAGCCGAGAAAGCAACCCCGGAAGCTTCACTCCGCCTTCACTAGAGACTATCTGTGTATGTGACCCTGAACCATAAACTCTAAACCCCCTAAACCCCTATGGGTTATATTGGGCATATAATTGGGATAATGAAAAATGAAACAGAGACTACTATAGTATATTGGGATAATATAGGGATAATGGAAAATGAAATGGAAACTACTTTAGTATATTGGGTGTATAATTGGGATAATGGAAAATAAGATAGAAACTACTATAATGGGTTTGCAAAACAGGGGATGACAAGCTAGCTCACTCAGCTTCAATTCCTAAATCCCACCGCGACAAACACTCTTTTCTCAAACCCTGGACCCTAAACATCCCTGTACAACCGCGGTTTTGGGTTTGATTTTGTTTACGGCGCCTCTTTTCACTGGGAAGCCAAAGCTTCCAAAGCAGGCGCATGGGTTTGGGGTTTAGGGTCTAGGAGCCCTGTACTATGTTCCTATAGATGTATATCCCTTAGGTGGACCCCCCACCAGTAATAGTGACTATAAGGGATAATGGTAATCATATTAGGGTCCTCTTATAATCCTATTATACCACTGTTACAGGGTGGGGGGTCCTCCTAGTGTATCCCTGGGAGGAGCCCTACAAGGCTCAGCCGGCCTGTCAGTGTCTATCTGGCCGAAGATGTTCTTGACGCTTTCCAGGTACTGGCTGGGGCTTGGCCAAAGAAGGGTTGTGCGTTTAAGGTGTTGTAATCTACCCTAAACCCTAAAACCCTAAACCTATACTACGGAACTATGTGGTTGATACTTAGAATCCTGCATGACCCTAGACCAGGGTGTTCTAGACAGACGGCTACAGTCATGCTGGCTTTTAGCATGACACGCACTATCCCCACTCAGTCGTAAAACCACAAAACCCTAAAATCCTAAATAATAGCTTCTATTTTCTTTTCCATTATCCCTGTACAACCCCAATATAACCCCAATATTCCTTTAAAGGAACCCCTAAACCCCCTTAACCCTGAATCCTCTGCTTGCATTGGTCGCTAAGTGCAGGCGCAACTTGCTTTCCAACTCAAGAGATTTGTAAGCTTAGGATCAGACGAGCTATAGTCTCAGCTCCTTAAAAGGGGGTATCTAAGAGATTATATAGGGCGGGTACAATAGGGGTTCTTCAGCAGGGGGGTGGTACGATAGGGGGTTTTGAAGGAGATACTGGAAGTTTCGACTATAGCTCAAGTAGAGTTTTAAGAATTGTTCGATCGTTGCCCGGCCCAGTAACGCTTTCCACTAGGACTCATAACAGCTACAGTAGTTACTGGGAGGGGGAATAGCCCGAAGTTTCCCTTTTTACACATGCAATCCATGGCAAAAAGCCACTCGGCCTGGACAGTTCAGATGTCTAAGGTTAAGTTTCGGGTTTAGGGTTTAAGTTTCACGGTTTCCAGAGATGCGGTCCCGCTCTTTTATGCTCTTTTACCCCCCAAAATGCTCAGGTCGTTCTTCTACGTAACTGACCGTTGTATAGTAAAACCAGTTTCTCAAATCCCTAAGTAGTAGGGTTGGTAATAGGGGAACCCATGAGATCAGGCCATTAGCAAGTGTGGGACTGCTATCTATATAAACCACCAGTTGGGGGGTGAGATCAGGCAAGGCCAGAATTTGCACCGTGATACGGACGCCCAAAACAGAACCCCTCATTTTCTGGGCAACCCTCAACCCTATAATTCCTATAGAACATACAAAAACCTGTATGTAAGCATAGATGTCCCTATATATCCCTATGACCCCTCATGTCCGAGGTATCGCGCAGGCAGGCCTGTAGCATCTCCTTGGGTGCACAGAATCTTAGGTGAGTGTTTTGGGTCTACGGTTCGGGGTTTAGGCTTCAAGCTTTAGGGCTCATGGTTTAGGGTTTACAAGAGGGACCTCTACCCCAAACGCAGAATTTCATTCGACGTTGCCTTGGGCACTAGTGTAGTATACAAACGTCATGAAGCTTAGCTGGTGCTATCAGAGTAAAGCTGACGAGCCCGAGCAATCTTCCTAAAAGTTGAGACTAAGGTACCATACAAAAATTTCAACATTTGCTTCACTTATATAAGTGCCCATCAGATGGACATCTGCATACATGTGTATACATACATACGTACATACATACGTACATACATACATACATACCTACCTACCTACCTACATACCTACAAACCTACATACCTACTTACCTACATACCTAGATACCTAGATACCTAGATACCTACATACATACATACATACCTACCTACATACATACATACATACATACATACCGGTATGGTTTTCTCATAGTGGTAGTTTAATTCAAGCGTCCTAGTAGCTACCAAAATAAGCTCGGGAACACCACATGGACAAAAGGTGATGTCACGACCATGAATACAGCTTCCACATTAAGCTCGATCGTTTCTCTGGTCCTGACTTGCGCCGTGCAAAAAATGTCCGCGGTTGATGGTTTAAGGTTTAGGTTAGGAGGACCCCCCACCCTGTAATAGTGGTATAAGAGGAATATAAGAGGACCCTAATAAAAGCCTGATTATCCCTTATAGTCACTATCACCGGGTGGTAGGGCTTGGGGAACTGAAGGACCCTTCTCCCCATTCCTAGGTCCCAGGCAGGCACATTACAATACAATAGTGCCATCTGTACAAGAAGAAGAAGAAGAAGGAGGAGTAGTAGTAGTAGTAGTAGCAATAACAATAATAGTAGTAGTAGCAGCCTGGTTCCAGGTAGGATGCTTCCCTCATACCTAGCAGAGGCAATCACTCCAAACCCTAAACGATCACCTAGGCCCTCTACATCTCTCAGTTCCGAGGCTCCTAGTCTCCATCTCGGGGGCCCTATGCAAACTATGTAGTATTATAGCTTTACGGGATTATAGAGGCATTAAGGCAATGACAAGTACAAAATGATGTTCAAACCCAGCCCTGTGGAAAGGCATAAGTAGCAGCCCCAAAGGAAATAGCACAGAAATCCCAACTCTCGTCCCAGCTTAAAGTTTGGAGACCAAACTCTAGCGCTCCTCAATGGTTGTAAGGACTTGCGGGGTGGATCTCCATCATAGCCCGATATCACCCCTATGACCTCAGTAATTTCCAAGTTCTTCTCCGATTCTTCGTTCCCTCCTACCAGTTACTGAGCTGAGGTGCGCAGAACTCCTGGAGGCGGATGTGGCCACCTCCCTGGCCCGCATACTTAGCTGCCAGCCATAGAACCTTAATGTGCTTCAGGGAGGGGATTTAGGGTTTAGGGTTTAGGGTGTGTGGCTTAAGCAATGCATTAGCGATACTTACAGCATCAAACTCTCGGAGCTTGCGGAGATACAAGGATCGTACCCCAATGATGCAGCATCAAACGGAATATGCAAAGGAAAATGGAGTTTCCGTGTCATGTTCTATTTTCTTGTCCATGTGATTCACCATTATTTTCGGGGTAGTATCCCTAAACCCTGAACGCTAATAAAGATTATATAGTGGTCTGTAGGGCCTTCGCCTTCTGGAGTGCAAGCTGCCTTCATCACTCCTCCCCCCCCTCATCCTCATACGCCTCTCCTGCCGGAAATAGCGATTTAGGGTTCAGGGTTACTGGCATAGGGTTTAGGGATTAGGGTTTAAGGTTAAGGAGATGGAGCGCTAAGGCTGAGACGGCGTTGGCATTGAAAGGTGCCTGGAACATGGACTGCTGTGTGCCCGACTCCTTAGCTCCACTGAGTCGTTTCCATGAGCCCTGTACCCTAACCTGAAACTCTAAACCCTCATCCCTACAGCCTAATCCCTAAACGCTAAACCCTAAACCCGAAACCCTAATTCCTAAACCCCAAACCCCAAACCCCAAACCCTAAACCCTAAAACCTACACCTTACACCCTAAGCCCTA